GGGGTTCCACTGAAGAGCCGAACAATTAGCAGCAGTGTAAGGCGGCGGCAGAATATCGGAGAAACTCGTGTCTGGGCTTTTAGCTAGTATCTATGTCGGGAGTACGGTATAATACCTTTACCATATGGAATTCATACTACTCGTAGTACTACTTGTTTGTAGAATGGGCATTACGTGGTTATTCCACAGTAGTTGATTGACTTAGACTCAAATGTTCATTGTCATTTCGGCTCTGACCATAAAGTGTCATGTCCCGGATATTTAAATGCATGTCCTGCAATGATTAAATTCTGAAATTATTCACCTGATTATTCTCTGGCGTTTATATACCAGAAAACGCTAGAGAACGCTGGGGGTCACACTGAAGAGCCGAAGCCCTAGCAGCTGTGACAGGCAGCGGCAGAATATCGGCGAATCACGTGCCTCGGCTTTTAGCAAGTATCCATGTCGGGAGTACGGTTTAATACCTTTACCATATAGAATTCTTTCTACTCGTAGTACTACTTGTTTGTAGAATGGATATTACGTGGTTATTCCACAGTAGTTGATTGGCTTCGACTCAAATGTTCATTGTCATTTCGGCTCTGACCCTAAAAAGTCATGTCCCGGATATTTAAATGCATGTCCTGCAATGATTAAATTCTGAAATTATTCACGTGATTATTCTCTGGCGTTTATATACCAGAAACCGCTAGAGAACGCTGGGGGTCTCACTGAAGAGCCGAACCCCTCGCAGCTGTGTCAGGCAGCGGCAGAATATCGGCGAAACACGTGCCTCGGCTTTTAGCTACTATCTATGTCGGGAGTACGGTATAATACCTTTACCATATGGAATTCATACTACTCGTAGTACTACTTGTTTGTAGAATGGGCATTACTTTGTTATTCCACAGTAGTTGATTGGCTTCGACTCAAATGTTCATTGACATTTCGGCTCTGACCCTAAACAGTCATGTCCCGGTGATTTTACTCCAATTCCTGCACTGATTAATTTCTGAAATTATTCACCTGATTATTCTCTGCAGTTCATATACCAGAATACGTTAGATAACGCTGGGGGTCTCACTGAAGAGCCGAACCCCTCGCAGCTGTGTCAGGCAGCGGCAGAATATCGGCGAAACACGTGCCTCGGCTTTTAGCTACTATCTATTTCGGGAGTACGGTATAATACCTTTACCATATGGAATTCATACTACTCGTAGTACTACTTGTTTGTAGAATGGGCATTACTTTGTTATTCCACAGTAGTTGATTGGCTTCGACTCAAATGTTCATTGACATTTCGGCTCTGACCCTAAACAGTCATGTCCCGGAGATTTAACTCCAAGTACTGCACTGATTAATTTCTGAAATTATTCACGTGATTATTCTCTGGAGTTCATATACCAGAAACCGCTAGATAACTCTGGGGGTCCCACTGAAGAGCCGGACCACTCGCAGCTGTGTCAGGCAGCGGCAGAATATCGGCGAAACACCTGTCTGGGCTTTTAGCAAGTATCTATGTCAGGAGTACGGTATATTACCTTTACCATTTATATATACATATATATATATATATATATTTATTACCAAATTAAGTGGAATGCACTTACCCATTTTTGCACATTTGGGCGTATGACGTAAATCGTTATCCAAAATTTTCGAAACCTGACTTGTTATCCGTCGATTTCGACGATGATCTCTGTTTGCTTCCCACCAATATGCAGCAGGGACTTTGATTTGATCTTAATTGAGTTTTTTAGTGTAGTAAAATTTAGCGGTATCTACCGCACACTCTCTGCCCACTTTCCACTCGTACTCGATGTTAAGACAGTGTCAGGAATTCCGTAGGCGTGGGTGATCGGAGGATTCTGATACGACCGGATCCGCGGCTAGGCGTGCCACCACACCCCAGATCCACAATATAAACTTAACCAGGATTGTTCAAAAACTATAACAACACCCCCAACGGGGTCAGAAATATGAGGGTGACTCGGCAGCCATGCGTAATATCAGGTCACATAGCGGGAGCGAAAGCGCATTATACGGCAGGGAACATACATACCTGCATACCAGACTGTCATGATCTCGTGTCCCTGCGATTGCTATCTGAATTATGCAATGTTTCAGGGACGTACTCCGCAGTGCAGCTGTTGCTCAATACTATTTAAGATACTGTCACCGTTCAACGGTAAGGATATAAAAACTAGAATTTTGGTAGTAAATGCTTCGTCAGTGTTAGCTACATAGGGTTTCTGTGCTTATGAATGAGGCACGAAGGATGCCACTAGTAAGCAGTTTTTGTTTAAGGCACGCAATTTCTGCATTTTGTATCTTATTAGAGCTTGTATTCATAGCCCTTTGGAAGCCAGTGTAAACCGATGTCCATTGTCATTGTATGAGTGTAAATCTTAAGAAACGAAGTATTGCATTTACAATTATTTTCGTGGAAAAGGGAACGTCTTATTTACCCATCCTCCGGTCAAAACACAAGAACTTCCACGAAGGACAGTTGGCTGTTTTGTGGTTTATCGATTGTAAATTTGAGCATTGGATGTAGTATAATCAATGTTGTCGGCAATTCCTCAGCTTATTAAATGTCATCAACAATGGCAAATGTATCATCCACAAACGCGTTTAGAATGGCTTGCAATTCAATTTTCAAATCATTTCATATCATTAAATGCTAACAGAAATTCTGAAAGAGGTTTTCTATTTTAAAGTCTTACTTGAGTTGGGTCATATTACTAATTTTCATGCAGAATAATCCCATGAAATGTCCAACGCGCCGGGATTCTGGCATTTAAATCCTCTTCATTTTCACATCCCACAAGGCCTAAAGTAACTTAAAATGTCTAGTTAATTAGCATGCATCTTTACGTGTTGTAACGTCCTTATATCTGTAAATAAACCTTTCATTTAAAATTCGAAGATTTGACTTGTTTTCACATTCAGTAGTAACGTTCATCATTTTTAAAGTTCACACTGGAGGAGATAATATTATTTGTTTTCAAGAAACGTCTGATTATGAGTTTTTTTCTTATGTGCATTGTTTGTTAATTGCCCGATTAAGTGCACAACATATTCCGCATCGATTGCAAAATTGTAATGCATAGTACATTGTTCTTCGAAGGCTGATACTGTAGTTGCACATGTTTTCAAACCGTTTTTCAAAATTTCTTAACTTACTGTTTATTAAAAACCTTATTTAGGTGGTTTTGTTGTACTGATTAGCCTGTAGCTCAATGCTTGGGGTTCTCCATTACAAAGGATTGCTGATTATCAAAATCGCTTACTTTTGCTGCCTGCAAAAATCACAATCATATTTAAAAACGAGGCATTAAGAACGCTTTATATGACTGTTCTGTGTACTTATTTAGGGGACAATTATGAGACCTGCATTTTCATAAGCAAGCAAGGCACCATTGCATGTGATATATTTAGGAATGTAAACATTTCCAACCAAATATTGCAGCACCTGAACGTTTTATAATTTCATTTATGAAATGTATGTTGTAGTCGACAGTCCATGCAATGTTTTATCATTCCTTTATTGGGTCTTCCTAAGATCACCGAGACTAATGATTTAGTAATTGCAGATGCAAGATTATAAGAACCAAAAATTGACGGTTTATCAAGTTTAACATGTGACGACAACAAAGTTTACGACCAGACAGTTCTACCGTCCCACCCGACGATGTTCATCGTATACTCAACAGCAAGTTGGAGCAGAAGCAATAACTGCCACCTGAATTAGTTTAAAGTGAGGATGAAGCATCTACCACGATGTCTCCCTCTTTTCTCCTTAAGTTCGGCGTCAGGAAATAGCCGAGAAGACCGGAGGCGTGATAGGATGCAGGTGACTGGTACGATCGAAACCGCACCTCGGCGCACCACAACATCCCCTGGTCCACAACAAACACAGAACAAGGATTTTTATTAACAGCAAAAGCACCACAACGGATCAAAAAGACGATGATGATAAACGGGTAGCCATGTTAACGACCTGTATTCACATCGTTAGTGCAAGCGGATTTGTCGGCAGAGAACCAGGTTTCAGAGAACTGCCCTTCGTACATCAGGCTGCACTGAGCCTAGTTCACTAATCATGGCATAGCAGATGTTTACATATACTGAGGCCCATAAGGGTGACGCTCGGCCCTGTGTTTAGTGTGGACCGCCACACTTCAGAGGCAGGCAACCAGTAAGTCGTTGACTGGAAGGCACAACCTACTCACACACTCCTCGCATGCATGAGACTACCTAGGGTCACTTGCAGAAGGAGCCGCCGCACTCTGGCTCTTAACCTAACAGTTCGCCTCACCAAGCACATACGCAGAGAGCTGGGCTAACTGCATGGACTGATTTGAAGAGCCATTCGTCAGCCTTCCAAGCCATGGCACTTGGCACGCCATGATAGTCCCACACTCGGATGGCGTGCAACGGAGGAGCTGCGTGACAGTCGAGTCCTTGCGGCGGGTGACGTTTTGTGTGTCAGAGGTGCTGGTGGGGGGTACGTGTGCTGGTAGCCGACTGCTGCTTAAAATAGGCGTTCATGAAGGCTCATGTAACTTTATCGATCCATGGTAGCTGTGGTGCATTAGCAATCTCTGGTGCGTAGGCGAGATGTGCCAGTCACATCCATAATGCAGTGAATTCCACTCTCGTGGATACGCATGCGACCTTTTAGGCCCACACGATGAGTCAAGGTGTAGTGACAGTGTAATAAGTGGAGGTGGATGCGACGAGTGTAAGTTAGTGCCCCGGGCACTGGTTCGTCAGTCTTTGTGCGATGGATTCGCAAATAACAGATCAAACTGACTTGAGGGGTGAATGTGCGATCGCAACTTGGGCATAAATGGACCTAGGACACACCGCTAGTATTGGCGGGGTGAAGTATTATGTTCAGTCGGGAGAGTTGGAGGGGACACTGCGTGGGCATGTTGGTGCTTCGGGCGCTGTTTTGCCAGCCACAATGTGTTCGAGTCGCAAGTGACCGAGCGAACCGCTAGGTGATGCGAATGTACGAAAACAGTGTGGCGGGAGTCGGTTTTGGTGATGGTGGCGGTGGTGAAGTCGCTGGTGATGGCCATGTTGGCGGCGGAATGTCGATTATGCTAGACATGGTGGGTACGCAATGAGGGCTACTAGTGTCCAGATTGCAGTGAAATCCGATATTGTGGATACGCATGCGACCTTTTAGGCCCATACGGTAAGTCGCGGCATAAGGGCAGTGTGAAAAGTAAAGGCAGATGCGGCGAGTGTAAGATAGTGTCCCAGGCACTGGTTCGTCAGTCGTAATTGACCAACGAAACGATGTGAGGGGTGAATGTGCGATCGTAAACTGGGCAGACGCGGGCCCAGTTCACATCGCTGGTGTAGGCGTTGGCGAGGCTGATGTTTGTCTGTGCGTCAGTATTATGTGCAGATGAATGGAAAGCTCTGGCCGTCGCAGAACTTGAACAGACAAAGATAAAAACCCAAAGTTCATCTAAATAAATATATTCCAGCATTCTACTCTACGCGATTTATTTGAATCTGCAAGTGCATTACTTGCAACGGGAAAGGTCAATAGCTCACTGACAACAGATAGGAAACGAAGAAGGTACGGTCAGCTGCAATGGACTCTGAGATGTTCACTAACGTCTACCAAGCTACCTAAGTTAAATAAGTAGCCACTTGACTATCTGCAGGAAACTCGCGAAAGGAACGCCGGCCACGTACGAATAAGATGAACACCCAGACATTTGTCTTGCAATAACGGGATATTGGCGATACGCATGTCTGTAGAGAGTGCAAAAAACCGGTCGCAGTCATGATGAGTGGCCGCAAATATTGAAACAGCGTACGTACGAAAGGGAATATAACGTGCTTTAATAGGAAAACTAATGCTTGACTTCCGTTTACGATGAATAAAGGCTCATATCTCAAAATGGCTTAACCTACTGTCTGAGGTCAGAATATTCTACTCACTTTATCACGAAAATGAGATTTTCATCCCTTACCTCCCTATTCATATTCAAAAACAGCAACCAGGTCATTTTCTACAGACAAATGGGCAGTGAATATGTGAATTGATAAATTATGAGTCCAAATTTAACTCAATGAACCGATTATTGTGAGGATAGTTCAAGTCTAAGCTTCTGTATTTCTATCTCTTCGCACAAAATATAGCGCGCAATGAATGAGAATACAGAAGCTCGATTAGCCGATGTGCGACATAACATAAGTCGGAAGCTGCGGCGCATCGGGCGGGAAAACTTCGCAAAAATTAGATCAAAATGCAAGGGATGGGCAATGTCACCTATAATGCGACCAGCAAATTGCTTGTCCGCGTTGACGTGTCGTTGTAAAATAGTGTAAGCTAAAAAAATATAAGAGAACAATAAGTGAACTTCCTTTGCCGGAAGGTCCGCGTCTTATCCGAAGTTAATTCCCACATCTCCTTAAAAAATGGTTTAATCAACACAGTTTAAGTCGGTGTAATGAATTTGCCAGTCGTTCGGCAAGTAACCGTACAATAAGCACCTCACGAAACCCCTTCTCACGAAGCAGAACATGGATTCATTAAAATTACCCACCAATATATCTACCAAACCGATTATTCTACCCGTTAGCGGCAAACAATGGACTAAATTACATTTTCCCTAATTTCCGGAATGTCGCTTATAGCTCTGATGAGTTGTCTTTTCATAAGATGCTTTTCTCGACTGCTTCCGTCAATTCTTCCGCTTCAGAGTACGTCTACAAAAGGCAAGGAGCCTTCTGCGTATACTTTTATCGTAAACCTGGTCGAATAGTATGCTTGATTTGCGGCATTAAAGAGTGTGGCTTTTTGGTCTCTCTAATGGTAATGACGAAGATATCATTGATGAAGTGACCGCAGTGCCTTAACTTATTGATGTGGTCGTTTAACTAAATTTTTTCTAGATTACCCATGAAAACATTGTCTTGGAGACGACAAAGATGCAATCTCATAGCAAGTTCGCCAATTTGTTGATTTATCTTGTTGTCAATTTTTTATTGTTATATCACTCAGTAACATGAGGGCAGTTTTAGTGCGGATTAGAAAACAGACAGAATTGCAGAGAGCACCTCTTCTGCGGCAGTGTGGGTGCACCAGATCTCGTTCATTCCCGCTTTGCGTGAGGACGAAATTAGGGGTTGTGTCCTGGTCTGATTGCTGTCTTCCTAGTGGTCCACATCTGAACGCTCGCAGGGAACCTCTGAAGGTTTTGCGTAACCTGAGTGCGCGCTAATTGCTGACTCACGCGCGGGCCTGTTAGGCGAGACTGGCCTACGTGTTTGCGGCCTCGGGGTTCTCCGTCAGGCGTGATGGACGGACGACAACAATGCTGCGTCGTGTTGTGGACCGCCAAGTCATTTATAGTTCTGTGTATAATAATGGACGTTGACGAGAGTACGTCGTGAACGTGTCATGTAGCGTGGGCGATACCGGATACGTGGCCTAGTTTAAAGAAGGATAAATACATTTTTCAGTCCTTTACAAATTACCTGTCGTGATCCTTCGTGGTCATGAACACTTCTGGCTCTTTCACGCCTAATCATGTATACACTATTGGTAGTACGGGTTCTAGCTAAAAGCACATGCATGAATTTAGCGGGTATTTTGTCTTATGATAAATCGTCACTGAATCATCATTCACCTTCAGAGCTTTTGGCGGCGTTATGGAGGCTATGCAGACTTGTGCAAGATCTCAGCCACATTTTCAACCTCAAGATAAAAACAAACTTTGTTTTTCCCCGACGTGCCTACGAGCCTAAAGATAGGTCAAGTTTCGGAATTTTCCATACCCACCGTGAATTTCTGCAAAAAGCTTCTGTACTTGACAGACATATGTGGTATTTCTCCAACAACAGCCACACCAAGGAAATACGTAAAGCTGATCTTATTTGCCAGCCACAATTCTTATAGTAACGCGCTTTGACTTTTTCACCGTTTCTCAAACCAAATGCATGTTCTGGAAAAAATTGCATTTTAACCGTTAGTTTAATTAATGGCCGTTCCATGTGGTCGTTTTTCAATCAGCCTCGCCAAGTGCTTTTTAAGTTTGTACAGTAAATTTGTAACTTCTGTGTCGCTAGTATTCCCTTGCGTTCGGTTTAATTTCCCAGAGGTTTTGGTATATGGAGGTTTTTTGCGAGGTACTGTTTTAATTGGTACTGATGTAAGGCATGCAAGCGCATATGGACCAAAATTAAGATTTGTACACATAATCCGGGAAAAAGCGATAAGTCATACTCAATTTTTTTGTCTGCGTCCGTCTATGACTGTTCAGTTCATTATAATGTACTCAAGAAATAACTATTGTTATGTATGCGAAACAGAAGGTTAATTGGAAATAGGACTTGTACTGAGTATGATATACAGCACAAGTGAGGAGGCTTGTAGACACGGCGGGGAAATATCAAGGAGGACTGTCATAGGCTTATGGGTGGCCAATCAGCACAACGAAGGTCTGAACAGGGGGACATGACCTTGATCGTTCGCTTGTCATGCGTATGTGGCATGATGTCCTGTCGGCCCGGGCAGGATATGCTGCCTCCCTCCACCCTAAATTGGAGAGCATGAGGAGGAGGTGGGGAAACAGTAAAGGTAATAGTGGATAGTTAGAAAATGTTCTAATAAGATTCGGCCTGAAAGCGTTGGACAGGTTTGCCGATTCGGGTCGACCTTCTCAGGGCGGTATTTTTTACCTTTGCGTCGCTTTGTGCAGTCACTGGCTCCTATGCCGCTAAGGAGGAGGAGGAACATACGCCTCGGTCGTCGTCGTCGTAGTGCTCTGTGCAGGCAGTAGGTGTTCAGTCCTCGGAATTTCAGGATCCCTACCAACGGTTGCTGCCAGTTCGAACTTTCCGAATTCTCCACTTACCGTGTCCGTTCGGCTGCGAAATGGGTCCAGATGTCGACGCACAATTACCCCATCTTCTAACTCTTATTGCACTCTTTTTACCTCGCTTGTTCGAACTACCGCTGGACACCAATTCGTTTCGTTTTCCAGTCGCGTGCGGACAATTTCGTTAGGCGCGACGTCTCGTGGTCGGGTGTTCGCATCATATCATGCTTTCATCTTCGTCTGCTTTGCAATGACTCTATCATGCGTTGACGGATAAAGGAGGGCGAGTCTTGTGCGCAACTGCCGCTTGAACATCAATTCTGCAGGCGAAGCACCAGTTGCGTCGTTTGGTGTTATGCGAGAGCTGAACAGAAAACGTGACAACTTGGTGGCCAAGTCCGCGTCCGTCTGCTTGGCTAGTCCATGCTTTATTGTCTGGACTGCACGCTCTGCGTGGGCAGAAGAAGCAGCGTGGTACGGGGCAGTAATTAAATTTCTTATTCCATTTTTTCCACGAAATCTTCAAATTCTGCACTAGTAAAAGCTGGGCCATTGTCTGAAACGATCATTTCAGGTATCCCAAAATTGGGAAAAACTGTTCGCAGCTTGTTGACTGTAGTCAGTAGAGAACAAGTATTTCCTGCCAGATTCGCATGAATCCATTTAGTGTGGGCGTCAACTACCACCAAAACCATATGGTCTTGGAATGTCCCAAAATAATCGACGTGTACACTCTTCCACAGAGAGTCGGGCCAGGCCCGAGGCTTTAGAGGAACCTTCGGTAAGGTTTTCTGTGTTTTTTGGCACACGTGACATGCTTTTATCACGTTTTCTGTATCTGCGTCAATTTTGGGCCACTAAACACAGCTGCGGGCGAGAGCTTTCATTCTAACTTTACCAGGATGATCACAATGCTGGTCTCTGATGATGACCAGAGTCAGGCTAGTAATAAAATCACGGACACATTGATTGGATTCTTGACGCATTCGACAAAACCGGTACTGACCGAGAAAGACGTTGTCTTTTCCTCCCCACGCTGACTCGAGTTTTGTGAAGGCTGTTTGGAGATCTATAGGCTTTTGTAGATTGAGGATATCGAAATATCATTGTCCCAACTCTCCGAGATTCGTCCGGAGGAGTTTCAACTTAGATAGGATGTCTATTACTATCGTGGGTGACAAAATCGCGAGTAGTTCAATATAATCCTCAGACGTCTTCCTCCATTGCAACCACGAGTCATTTGAGGGCTTCTGGGTGTTCTTTGGCCAGAAAGGTAACGGTGTAGGCAGCAATGAAGACATGTTCGTTAGGCTGCGTCGCCAATGTTATGTATGCAAAACAGAAGGGCAATTGGAAATCGGACGTGTACTGAGTACGATAGGCAGCACAAGTGAGGAGGCTTGGGGAAACGGCCGGGAATATGGCAAGGGGGACTGTCATAGGCTGATGGGTGGCCAATCAGCACAAAGAAGGTGTAAACAGTGGGACATGACCTTGATCGTTCGCATGTCACGCGTTTGTGGCATGATGACCTGTCGTTCCGGGCAGGATAAGCTGCAAATTTGGCTTGCATTTTAAGGAGTTTACAATATTAACCTACAAGTGCTGCATTCACCTTGGAAAATGGAAAATAGGAAACATAGATGCTGTCGGATAAGATGGCTTGAAGGCTGGTTTCTCCTAGCATTGCGACGGCCTCAAGCGGTATACGGCATCAAGAACTGGCTCAAACTAAGTAAGACGAATGTGTGGCGCATATTGGGGATGGGGCGGATTTTCTCGCTCAGATCATAGAGTAATTAGTGGGAAAGGAGTAAATGCGGCATTGGATAATTTATTCTTACTCAGTCGAAATACCTATATGGGCTGGATTTTGAACTAATGCCTCTTATGCAGGACGTAAGCGTGGTGAAATCACGGCCAATGGCGAAAGTAGGACCCGACGACGCGCCAAACAGAGGACCACGCCGATGGCGTGATACATCCGTGAAGTTCGACCTCCGACCAGGGTGTACCGTAGCGACGAGCACGAGTGGTGGCTTCGCTCAGGCGAGCAAGCCGATCAATGGCTGGTCGAACGTTCGAGACTTCCCCGGGGAATTCTGGCGGCCGCGACGGCCCATCATCAAACGGTGCGCGATTGGCCGGAACGTTCTAGAACGCCCTCAACTGCTTTCATGACATTGTTCGGAATGCTGAAGAACGCACAGGGCCTAACATAAATGAGTCGCCGTATTGACGAGAAGCGACTCCCTGCGTTCGCATGCTGTGAATAAAGAGCTTGTTAATATAAGTTTGTGACTGCAGTGTGACTGTTCTGTTGTGTTGTGGCTATTGTGAGACAGTTGTGTAAGGCCGCTCTGTCGGCGATGATTGCAGCAGTCGAATCAACCCTTTGTCAGACGGAGGCAACAGAGGAGACTAAGAGCCTCATCCGACACCAAGTGTCGTCTCTCCTGATGGCCCACAGTCCGCGGGAAGTTCTTTCCAAGGTCGAGCGTAATGCGCTTAGATAACGCAAGGCCGATAACGACGTGGTCATCGTGCCAGCAGACAAAGGACGCGCTGCAGTTGTACTGGACAGGACAGACTACCTTCAAAAAACCAAAGGTTTACTGGAGAACCGACATATCGATGTCCCTTGTGCAACGAACCCTTTAAAGGCGCTGAAACGCGAAATTAATGCTACGTTGCTGGCCTTGGAGAACACAGGTGCAATAACACCGACCGACAGACGCATGGCGAGACCCCAAGATACCGCTTTAGCCCGATTCTATGGCTCCCTAAGGTGCACAAAGACGGCGCTCCTCTCCGACCCATCGTGTCGCTAAAAGGGACTCCCACGTACGGACTGGCTAAGCGGCTGTTCCGGTGTCTTAAGTTCCTGACCGCTGAGTCAGACACAACGGTCTCTTCGTCAGCACAATTCCTGGAGAAACCCAAAGGGGTAAGCATCCATCCAAATGAGGTCATGATATATTTTGTTGTTACATCCCTTTTTACTTCTCTTCCCCAGGACCTACCGATCGAGACAATTGAGCTGCTAGTACAAAGCAAATACGATGAAACGGAGAACCGTCTAGGACACGCCCAAGTCCTTCAACTCTTGAAGCTCTGTCTCATGACGAACTTCACTTTCGACGGGACATTCTGCGAACAGGCGAAGGGCACATCAATGGGTTCGCCGATTTCGGGATTCTTCGCCGAGGCGGTCCTGCAATGGTTAGAGTCGCTGATCTTCCAACACCACAGACCGAAATTCTGGGCCCGGTATGTGGATGATACCTTCGTCGTCATCGAACGGCATCGGGTGTTGACATTCAAGGAACATCTCAACGGCATCTTCCGGGACATTCAATTTACGATGGAGGAGGAAGAGAACAATCAGCTGGCCTTTCTGGATGTCCTCGTATGTCGCAAAGATTGCGGTGGACTAAAAACCAAATGTTCAGGAAAGCGACAAATACGATGCAAGTTCTTAACTTCAACAGTAACCACCCAACCAGCCACAAACGCAGTTGTGTAAGGACGCTCTATCGGCGTGTCGAAACGCACTGCAGTGAGCCAGAAGACAAAATTGCTGAACTACAATACCTCCGACAGGTCTTCAAAGCCAATGGCTACCCGCGCAACTTCGTCGACCGATGCATACGCAAAAGGGACATGGACACTAAGTCTTGGCGGGCACTTCCGTATGTCAAGAACGTTTCGGAAGCTGTCGGCCGCCTTCTGGCACCACTTGGGGTTGAAGTTGCACACAGACAAGATGCAACCATCAGGCGTCTGGGCATGAAACCGAAAGACCCACTGCCACGGCTAGAAACGTCTGGAGTGGTTTATCGGATCTGGTGCAGTTGCGGACAAAGCAACTTCGTCGTAGAAACCGGAAGACAGCTCCGAACGAGAATGGGCGAACACGCGGCAGCGGTGCGCAGAAATGACGCCAGCTCTCAAGTTGCGGCCACACATTCAAATTCGATGAGGCCGAAATTATCGCAAGAGATGACAACCACGTGAGCCGGGAGCTTTTGAAATCATGCTTTACTGGCCCCCCGTCCATCAACATGTGCAACGATCTTCCCACTCAATACTCCTTGCCAAAACTTCGCTTAGGCCGAGTAATATATCATGCGGGGAGCGCAGAAGTGAACACTTTTCCCAACACCGGGGTTAGTGCGTCAGATGGTCGAGAAATCATCACGCCAACATCCAACGCACGTGAGGAAATTTCAGCAATTGTCGACTCGACTGTCGGCCATCAAGCAATGATCACACCAAGTGCGACGATCCCGGATGAAGGGGGGAGCCGTGGATGTTGATCGGTATGCAGTAGCGTGGCTACTGCATCCTATAAATACCGCAGCCCCTTGTGCAACAACGACCCGTTTCTGCTTTGTTGTCTCTGATGATGGATTCGAGTAGGAATCTGAAACGTCAGGCTAATAAAGCTCTTGTTCCGGCTATCGTGTGTCCTTCTTCAAAGCGCTTGTTCTCCGAACGTGCTGTTTTTCTGTCCAAACTTCCTTTCGTATCATAACAAAGTCCATCTCATGCGCAGCGCATGGTCAAGTCCAGCTGTCGGCGAGTCAGCAGTTTGCGAAAGTAGCACCCGACGGCGCGCCAAACAGAGGACCAAGCCGGCGCGTGATACATCCGTGAAGTTCGACGGCCGACCAGCGTGTACCGTAGCGCCGATCACGAGTGACGGCTTTGCTCACGCGAGCGAATCGATCAATTGCTGGTCGAACGTTCGAGACTTCCACGGGGAATTTGTGCGCCCGCGGCGGCCCATCGGCAACCGGCGCGCGGTGGGCCGTAACGTTCTAGAACGCACTTAACTGCTTTCATGGCATTGTTCGCAGGCTGTGAATTAAGCGCTTGTTCAGCGAACCAGCTCTTTTTCTGTCAAAACTTTCTTTCGCATCGTAACAAAGTCCATCTTATGTGCAGCGCATGGTCAAGTCCAGCTGTCGGCGCGTCAGCAGTTTGCTCTTTCGTGAATACTTTGCTTGGTATAATAAATTTAATAAGCATTTCCAAATACTGATCAACATAAATTTATCATAAAATAAAACTTATGGGTATTTAAACGACTCCCTTAGGTAAGCGGTTTCGGTCCAGATCGTAGGGAGATTAGGGAAACGAATGTGATCAAGGTCTTAGTTAAGGGGAAATGCCAAGGTTGACAATTCTAATCAGCCCCAATTTAGGGATTGAGTTTGGAGTCAGTTTTGATCATGGTTATTACCACGGGTAAGGGCATGTTGCTAATTGCCACTTTTCCTGGAATCGATGGCAAAGCCGCATTAATTTCAGTGGCCTGCGTCTTATTATTGCACAGTTTGCGTATACAATATCCGCTTTCTCAAGTCTGGATTTTCAGACAGACATTCTGTGACACATTTACCGTTCAAACTGACATTGATAAAACTTTTATCCCCTTTTAGAACCTTCTATGTTGTCATGACGAGATTATGGATTTCGCTGTAGTAGGAAGTACTTTCACCTTCTAGGATGCCATTCACAATAAATGCAAAATGTCACGACCACGAATTTTCGTAGAATTAACATCAGTTCAAATGTCGTACAAGATGCAGGCGTCTTGGCTAAAAAGAATTTGATATTAAGGTGAAATCTAATAGTGAATATACGGATCGAATGGAGCGTCTGGTTAAATCTACCGCATCGATGCCGACAGACGGTAATAAGACGTGGAGACGGGGAGTATGAAAGTGGAAATCATCACGTGACGTCGAAATTACTGAGGCGAAACACTGAGTTGTTGTTTGGACGTCAAGCGGAGGAAAAAAAATATTGCGACGAGTTATTCACAGTCGGGCTAGAATAACTTTATCTAAAAGTTTCCGTGACACGGTTCGAGAATAAAGACAGTGCAAGCGCCAGAAGAAGAAAAAAGTGTAGTTGACGGCCAATAACATTTCCGTAAAAAAGGCTTCAACATTATAAATAGCGAACGAAAACGAAAGACAGGTTAAGAACAGCTTTCAAATGCTAAGTATCACGCATTGGATCAGGAAGTTCAGGGCATGTGTGGCATACATGCTATTATTAATAGGTAAGTCTAGGAAGAAAGACGGCAACAAAATTATCCAAAAACTAAAAGAAGAACAATAGTATAGGAAGAAAGGCAAAAACTTCCAATGTTCAATAGCAAATAACTAAGAGAAAAAGCTGTGCAAAGAAAAAAAAGCAAAAATACATAACTGTTATCGAGAAAAAGATTCAAATGGATATTTATTTACTTCCAGCAAGCCCATCCAAATATCCAACCTATGAAGCACCAACCTATGAACTGTGCAAGGGGGAACACACAGAATGCACATCTGTCACGTACAGAGCAGAAGACGAAAGCAAGGGTTCAGGCTGTCGTTTAGCCTGCGCAAGACATCGAGATATGTACCTTCTTAACTCATGCATTCCTTCTTTTCGTCAACTCTGTGTGTTAAGTCTTGCTAATTTACATGTCCGTACGCAAAGGTAAACTTTATGTGTCACTCGAACGATTGCTTTTCCTTCAGATAACCTAACTGAGAATTTGACCGTTTACTTCTGTGAGAAACCTGACAAGCCCTGTATGCCCTACACCGTTTTTGGACGGCAAGATTATAGCGAGAACTTCGAAAGACACGTGATGTGTGTCAAGGTTTGCCACTTTGTCGGAAAGGGTAAGCTACCACATCGTACGCCAGGTAGTCTTGCGGCTTCTTCTACTTGTCCGATAAAATGCTTCATACATTTGCCTGGGTTTGCCATAAATTATTGCAAGTGTTTCTACGCAGCTAACTACCTTACCTCAGACAAAAATATTGTTCAATTTTAGCTGAGCATAGCGATGCGAATTCAATTTCACTGTGCTCAAACACTAAGGACCCATGCGCTGACATAAAGAGAGTAAATGGAAGTTTTGATGCCTTCAGCAGATGCGCTTTCAAATGTGATGGATGGACAAATCGTAAGTTTTTTAAGATTTTATCATAAGAAATGTGATATTGTTTTCAATGTTATCAGTATTGCATGCCCAGCTGCTCTGGTTGTTACGTAGTGTCATTTTGTTGAAGCCGAAAACAGTCGGGAAAACACAGCCTTCTTCACAATTCAGAACGGTTCTTTGGAGGAAGGCAAATACTTTTCGAACCCAAAGGCTGGAAATGCGTTTGCCGGCCTGAAGAACTGCTTCGGAACTTGCATATCAGGTGATGCGCAATTTTCATTTTATAAATTTGCCGATTCTGCTCTGCTTATTTCCCAAGTACTCGCATTTTTCAATTCGCCATCCCGTTTGTCGACTCTTGGACATTTGTCATACTGATTCTTATTATCCTTAATCCTCTTGCGCATATCTACGTGCGAATGCGTTTGCGTTTCTATCTTTTTCCTGTCAAGCTACCTTTTCAGTTGCTCTATTTTAGTGCTATGTTCGTTTTGAATATGACATACTTCATATTTTCTCTGTGCGGTTGTTGATTATAATCGGATTGTCGGTAGAATGCTTATTCTTCATATGCGTTTCACACGCATTACGCAATTCCCGCTAGTAAATAAACTCTTCTGTACATATGTCTGTCCGTCCTCATATGATATCAATTGCTTTTTTATTTTAGCTTAATGGTTCTCAGTAACACTTCGTATTGTGCGGATATTCTTTCTCTTTCTTCATGTTTGGTTAAGGTTTGCCTTTTCCATTAAAAAATATAATCTGTGATTTTCGATGTCTGCTTGAATTCATACTTTTTGTAATAAACTGCGGAACTTTCAATGTTTCGGCCCTGTTTGGAAATTACAAAAGACGTGCGTTTCATTCTTCGGCTGATGAGTTTGAATATATGGGTTTAATCAGAAGGAGACCTGGCGCATTACCACGACGAGGTATTTTGCTATTCAGATGTGCCTGTTATTCATTAGAAGAACGTCGATCACAGTTAAGAAAATATAACTCATTTTGAGCACAGTACTCTATTTTGACTGAATCAGTACGCTTTCAGGAAGTACTTGACAAGCTAAGATCGACGTTCGATGAGTTAAACCTACTGCCCTCCTTCAAAGTCCATTAGGTAACAGCTGTCCGTACGAATTGAACCGATTATGGGAATGGTGGCGTTCACCTTTATCACTTTTAAGACAGCAACGCTCTTCCTTTACTTAAAGCCTCAAACCAGTTTCTCATGCTGGGCAAAGTTGGGTCAGATTGAAAAAAACGGAGCACGGCAATAATATGTGCAGTTCAATCAGTTCATTCACAGCAGACATTTCGTACTTTACACGGGCTAATTGCCCCTAAAGATTCTTCTGGGCACGCAGACTGACGTGACGCAGTATGTGGCCAATCGGATGCAAGGACCATGTACTGCTCTCCTAAGGTATGAGTTCACAAACCACTTTGTGTTCGTTCAGAAGTTTCGAGATCAGGACACCTTATCATGACTGTGCGCAGGAGAAGAAAATCAAGTTGTGGCTGTCGCATGTACGCTGCCTTAAAATGGCTACGAATTTTGATAGGTCAACTGGCATTCTGATACCCTAGATTCGGAGGAGTCGTGTCAGCTTAGACAAGATTCGCCCACTTATAGAACAGTTCACAAAAAGAAATGAATAGTTCCACGTCGCGGAAGACTGTTCAATACATCATGGTAGAGTTCTGTTTCCAGCCATTTATCAGCAACCAGTTTTGATAAAGCTCCAATCCGGACATTAGAATAGGACATGCATGCAGCAACTGGCTCAAGACAGGCACATTGTGCTGGAACTGAATACGATGGAGAATCTTTTCTTCGAAGTTTTGGTCTGTGTGGATGCAGGGCCAAGAAGCCATTAAAAGAATCTCCCTGACGATGGCGGAATGTGACAAGACAGTGTAGTAGAGTCCATACGGACTACACAGGACCGTTTATCAAACGAATATATTTCAACCTTCTTGACGTTTTGCCCGAAATGGCTGGACGATCAAGAATTAAAATAAGTAACTTAAACAATCACACCCTGGAATGTGATGGAGTGAACGGCGCGTCGCGTTATCTTCACAGATTGAGACCGAAAATTGAAAGGGGTTAATGTATTCTCAATTTCATCATTTGTGTACAAACATAGAGAATTCGGCACAAGACATTCCCACCTTTCCACCTCCAACCGAATGGCCAAGCTGAACGATTTGTCAACCCCTTAAAGAAAGCGGTGATTCAGATGCGGATAGAAGGAATCAATTATTCAACTCTCGTCAGCGTTTGCCTTACCTAACGGACAACTTCCAGGACCCAAATGAATTAAAAAGCCGGTATGGGTAACAAGAGAATACAGCTTTCAAAGGACGTGTTGTGGACGTAGGGGTTACAGAGAGCGGCCGTAAACGAGGTCCAGCAAAATCCACACGGAAAAACAGGCATTGCACGTTACCTGGTTACAAGCACTACCATCAGAGCAGAAACGATCGCAGAGGCCCAGCACGAGATAGAAAGACCATGTGTACAACGAATTTCAGGCCCGATCCGGGATGGACATCGAAAGCGGGCACCAGTGTTAGAGGTGTTGCAGAGGCTCGGCATTCGGACGAGGGCATGTCCGGCGGTGGGGATGTGACTACCAAGTGTCTGTCAGGAAATGCGTCTTAGTGCCTCAGGCCAGTGTGCCTTCTCCAAATACAGGCCAACCAGCATAGGCATCGGGTGGTAAAGGACACTAAGTTGCTGCCCAATCCTCTTGACGAAGTGTTTGAAATTCCAAATCCCAGAGAGGAAACCGAAGTGCCGTTATCGGCGGTTCGGAAATGTTTAAGGATAATGCAGCTACCAAATGACTTGTTGTGGACGTAGGGGTTACGCAGAGCGCCCTAAAGCGAGACTCAGCCAAGTTCGCATGGAGAAACAGGCATCGCACGCAATGCAGGCACTGCACACCACATAATCATAACCGCCTTCAAAGTCATTTTCCCCTGTAGGGTAAATTTGATCACAGGTAGGTGTTTAAATTTCCCGCACTTGAATCTGAACGTTTTCAGATAGTTATGATATTCTGACCACTGCTGCACTACGAAAAGCATAAATTAGACAACCACGTTCGTAAAACTAACTTCTTCCTCATCGACAACCAGCTGAAACCTGAAAGAAGTTCTTCCATTTTCTCGAAATGTTAAGATAATGTTGTGTCTGTTTAGCAGGTCCGCAGAGTATTTGGTCTCCCCAAGTAGTCCTAGTTCGCTAATGCACTATTTCTCCAATTTTTCTCTCCATATGGAAAGAACCAGACTCATTCCCTCAGCTTTGTTTTCGGAAATTTTCACGCCCTTGGAAATTCACCCGTGAATTTTCACAAAAACAACCAAAGCTGATAGTCGTCAACAACCGCCACACCCAGGAACCCCATGACGGTGATCCTTTTCGTCTGCCACGAATCAGACATAACTTGGACTTCTCAACTCTTCTCGAACCGGTTTACTTTTATGAAAACACAAAGCACTTGCTCATGTCTAGTTTTAATATCTAACTATTACATACAGTTTTATTTCGACCAACTTCTTTCGAGTTCGACATCGGCCTCCGTAGGTTTGAGTATATACAGTATAGCCAAGAAAGTGCTACTAGTCTCCTGCTCTTGGACTCAAATTCTATGGATTTTAAGTGAATGCCGATGTTTAGTGAATTGCTGGTAAAGATGACAGTCAGGTGCAGATTGACGCAGAATGATGACTTGCAAAGTTTAATTGTTGGGTAGTGAATTTGTAGAAATACGCACTCCAATAGCATCCTATATGTTGACATCCTTGTTTTACTGCATGCGTTTTGCCAGTATATTTGGTCGTCCTGGGGAGGGGGATGCCGTAAAACACGGAGAGCATTTTGGAGCGCCTTAATTTTGTATGTACCTGTACCACTAACAAAGGAAATGGAAAATGAAGGTGGCCGTATACGGGGGTTTGGGGTTTATTTTCTTTCAAAATTCCGCTGCCATAGCCCGTATACCGGAGCCTAGGACATGTGTCAGCATATAAAATTGCAAAAATTTATTGCGACGTCCATTTTGGCTAAATATTTACTGATATTTTACTTGATATAATTACGTCAACACAATTTCTGCACAAGTATAGGACATTTTATTGAAGAAAAGGAATAAGCGAAAAAAATTCTCAAAGATTAAGGCGTTCAGAAATTCTCTCATCGGTTTCCGTTATCAGATTTCTTGAGATAGATCACAGACTGTATTTATTTAAGTTGGATCCACAGCATGCTTACTCCAGAGGCAGGCCAACTAGCTTAGACATCAGGTGGTCTAAGACGCCAAGTTGCTGCCCAATCTTCTTTACGAGGCGTTTGAAGTTCCAGATCCCAGGGAGGAAAACGAAGTGCCGTTATCGGCGGTTCGGAAATGTTTGAGGAGAATGCAGCTTCCAAAAGACTTTTTGTGGACGTAGGGGTTACGAAGAGCGTCCGTAAGCGAGACACGGCTAAATGTGCATGCAGAAACAGGCATTGCACGTTTCCTGGTTAGAAACATCACCATCAAAGCAGAAGCGATCGCAGAAGTACAGGCCGATTGGACAGGTAAGGGGCCAATGGGCGAATGCCAGACAGTCCTGGTGCGCTCATGCAGACACTCTCAAGATGATGTGGGTCGCAGCAGGCGCTGCGGCACAGGCCACAAAAAGGTCTTTACGGTGTCATTAATCCCGTGATCAAACTCAGACCACTAATCAATAGCCGGCCGGCCATTCTGGGAGCCCACATGCACCTCAAGCGTGTGCGCTCGCTCACAGCATATACATATATGCCTACATAAAGGAATAAGAGGAGCTTCAAAGGTAAGCCAATGCTTGAACTCTGTTTACGCTGAATAAAGGCGCATATCTTAAATCGGCTTAACCTACTGTTTGAGGACAGAATATTCTAGCCGGTTTACGTCAGGTTATCAAGGAAACGATTTTTTCGCCCCTGACAGCAACCGGATCATGCGTTTCATCAGTAATCCTTGAAATCAAAATGCTATCTGTACGCAAGAACCAGGCGCAAACTGGCACCACTGACACGATGGAGATTATATGTACGGTAGTTTCTCAGCAAATGATCGTCAAGTCTGCACTTCAAGCACTCAACAATTTCAGACAGAACCACCGCATCACTGAGTCCGTTTCCATGCTCCTGTGGCCTTCTGCGAGAAGGCGTCCCACCAGAAATCCGAATGGGCTAGGTTCCTCTGCACTTTAAAGGGGTGACCAGGCAGACAATCCGTCCAGACCAATTCGAAAGATGCGTCAAGGACAAGGGCGCAATTACGGCCTCTGGTGAACCCGCATCGCGCGTTTGACTGTCCTTTGACACTATGACGATGGCTTCAGTGAGGAGGTGATTAGGATGCCAAGGCCTTTCTGTTCCACAACATTTGAAAGGAACAGCAACAAAGATAAGACTGAGCCCTGGAAATTCCACTAAATCGGGAATTAGGAGTTGACTTTGAGGTATCAAAACGCATGGATTTTATCTTCATGTAAGAAAATCTGCGATCCATGTCGACAGCTTTCTTCTTGTCCCCATTGCGGAGGGTTTGCAGGTTAGACGTTTGTGTGGAACGTTGTCAAACGCCATCTTGAAGTCCGTGTAGATGACATTGACTCTACCATCCTCA